AGTTCATTATAGTAGCAACATATGATTATTTTTTATTCATTAATAGGATAATTGTTTTCATGTAAGGTTATATTATTTGGTTAATCCGATTAACATTGGTTTGGTAATTTGGTTTTCGTGTTAATTTGGACGGTTTGGTTAAGACATTTTATTCCATGGTTAATGAAATTTAGGCTTAATTGTTTTGGTTAATACCACGGTAACCATTTGAACACCCCTATCAAATACCATTATCCTCGGAAAAAGTAACACTATTTATAATGTTTTCAAATTTGAATCGTGAGTCAAAATTTGTGTGGTCATCCTGAAAATATTATTTGTCCTCGGAAAATTAGTAGAGTGAAATTTTGGTTTTCACATGTCAATCTATGCGCAATCACGATGAACACAAGACACAATATAACGTGGTTTCCCCACAGTGGTCATTGGGAGTAGTCCACGGAGAACGGCGACGGTGATTCTTATTGACGTAAAAGATAATCTCCTCCTGTACAGCCATGCAACATATATATGGCTAAGACTAATGCTAACCCTAACTCGGATAATTACAAAGTGGTACCCAAATAATTACTTCATGATACATATACTTCTAACACCCTCCCCAAATTAATGTAGTTGTCGAAATATTAATTTGTGTGCAAGGAACCAGTGACGAGCCGAGGCAACAACTTTAGTCAACAAGTCGACAGTCTGATCTTCTAAAGTAATGTATGCTAGGACAAGTTGACCCTCTTCAACAAGCTGACATATATAGTGAACAGGAGCCTCAATGTGCTTCGTCCTATCATCAAGTACCGGGTTAGTAGCAATACAAATAGCACTCGTATTATCCACATATCAGCAAAAAGGAGAACGAACTGTCACCCCAAGTTCAGCCACCAACCGCTTGATCCACACTATCTCAGACGCAACCTCATTCATAGAGCGATACTCCGCTTTTGTGGAAGACTTCGACACACGATCTTGCTTTTTACACCTCCAGGATATAAATGAATGAACCAACCTGATACACCAGTCTGAGGTACTGCGTCGAGTATCGGGACAACCTGCGTAATCAACATCGACATAAGCCTCCATTACCTCCTCCCCTGTTGTAAGAAACAGAAGACCCACATCTTGAGTACCTCGAAGATAACAACAGCTCAGTGCATCGTCCTAGATGGAGTAGTCATTGGTGCTCTAGATAAAACCAGCCTGCAGTATGGTGTCCTAGAATTTCTCAAACCAGAACGGGGCGCCTGTTTCAAACCATACAAAGATCACTTGAGACGACAGACTATCGAACTATCACCAAGAGTGTAATCGGGAAGGAGCTCCAAATAGATGACCTCCTTGAGGTCCCCATGGAGAAAGACATTCTTCACATCCAATTGAAGAAGCCGCCAGCCCTTAATAGCTGCGACAACAAGCAAACTGCGCACCGTATGCATTTTAGCTACTGGGGCAAAGGTTTCAGCATAGTCCACACCATATTCTTGATGAAATCCTTGAGCAACAACCCGTGCTCTGAATCTCTCCACACTACCATCCGGTAGCATTTTCACCGTATATACCCACTTGCTACCGATAACAGAAAATTCAGGTTGACGAGGGACCTAGTCCCACGCTTGGGCAGCTTCAAGAGCCTCCTTCTCCAAGTCCATAGCCTGCTCTCAATGCTCTATTCCCTTCCCTGTTTGTAGCTCGCCGGAACGACCACTGCAGGAGTTGAGAAGGCCACTAACTCCGAGTGATGGGGAGGCAGGACGCCCTTGGTAGCACGCAGGGAGCGGCGTAGCTAGGGTGGCTCGACCTCAACAACAGGCTGAACATCAGATTCATGGGAGGAGTGGGAATGTGAAGTAGTCGAGCAGGAGGATGAAGATGAGGTGCTGGATGGAGAAGAGGACCCTAAAGACGATGTGGACGAGGTAGATGAGGAAGTTGAAGACTCTGAATCGAGGTGATGGGACAATGAAGTGGAGGAATCCTCATCATTGGCATCAAAATAATCTGAACCAGTGGTAGAGTACTCAAGCGGTCTAAAAAACTCCATGTCCATGGTTGTAGTAGAGTCTGGACCCTTCGAGCCATAATATGGCACATTTTCAAGAAAAACAACATGATAGGAGATTCGAATTCTCCTGTGAACGGGATCATAACACACGTACCCTTTATGCCTATCATTGTACCCCAGAAAAACACATCGAACTATCTTAGGAGTAAGCTTGGTGTGTTCCCGACGTGCTAGTAGAACATAACAGGCACACCCAAAACTCTTACCAGCCATAGTTAGGAAGCCGCAAATACAAAACTTGATATGGGCTACGTTGCTGAAGAACCGACGTAACCTGACGATTGATCAAATACACTACTGTATGGAATGCCTCAACCCAGAACCCCCGAGGGAACCTGTGAGTAAAATAAAATATCTCGGGTAAGTTCAAGAACATGCCGATGTTTGAGCTCCACTAGACCATTCTGCTGTGAAACCTCGGGACACGACTGATGCACAAGAATGCCCCGTTCACGAAGCATGGCCTGTAACGGAATAGAGGTAAACTCACCCCCAGGATCACAACGCAAAATCTGAATCATTTTGCCAAATTGGGTCGAGATCATCTATATAAACTCATGAGCTCGAGATAATAGACGCAATAAGAACACCCAGGTAAAACGGGTAGCATGATCAATAAATTTACAAGACCCTCAGCGCGACCCAGAGATCAATATGTATCAACTCGAAAGGGACAGAATAAACCGTCTCGCTAGATGTAAATGAACGTTGAGTAATTTAAGCCTGTAAGCAATGAACACACTCATGATCCTATTCATTCAAGCCACCATCAGATAACCATTTATTTTGAAACATCGTACGACAGTCTCAAAGAATGCGGATGGCCCAATCTAAAATGCCAAAAATGACACGACAACCATCGTCAGCTAATTGACCCACAGATACAAGACTAGGCACGAGTTGAGGAACATATAAAGTGTTGGAGAATGAGATACGGGGCTGTTGCACATTACCCACACCCGTAACCTCCAACCTAGCGCCATTCGCAGCTTGTAATGCGAGTCCACCTGTGGATTTATCAAGATTATGAAACACATATGATTGTAGGTTGTTGACTCGTTATGACACAACTCCTAACAATGGCCAAGTGTAACTAATGAAAGGGACTGCAATATAGTGGCTCAAGTAATAAATATTGAATCCACGGGTCTCTAGAGTTACTATTACTCAGCTTCAGTTCATTATTTAGCAAACAAGATTAAGATAGAAGAACTAAAACTACTCTAGCAAACTACAGTTAAAGTTAATCTAATTACAAGCTGGGAACTCACTTAGGTATGATTTCCCCTAGCCACTAGCCAGATTAATGATTGATTATCTCTAACCCGTTTCACTTTCATTAACAATGCGGAGAATCCTTGACTAGACCTTGTGTCTCGACTAAAGGAACAAGGCCCTCTTGAGTCAATTGCCTAGAGGGATGTGAACAAGCGATCAAGACGTTCTGAACTAGACTCCCTCTATCGAATGAGGTTCTGAATAGATACAAAGCTGTGAATCAACCCTCGACTAAAGCAATCGATCCAATACTATCAATCTATGCTGCTCTATTGACCTAATTAGGTATTCGCTCTTATAGGATCAAAGCAGAATCAATAATCTCGACTAAAGCATAATTGAATCATGAAAACGTGCATAGATTGAATATGAACTCAAGATTATCAAGTAGGAGTACTCATACAATCATCCAATCAAACAAACATAGCTAGGGTTTCTCAAAACCTAAGTGAATGGAAGTTACTCCATAGAGAAGAGAGAGACTACAGTAAGAATTTCCCGATGATCAGTCTTCAAGTCTGGGCTTGTTCCTCGATCTTCCAAGGTGAAGAAATCCTCCAATTCCACTACAAGATTGCCCTCAAATGGCCCTCTCTCTCTCTTTGGTTCGTCCCTTGGGTGTTTGGGAACCCAAAACCCACCTCTCTCCCTCCAAAAACGCACAAAACAGGCTTTTAACAGCCTGCATTCGCGAAACTTGGTCCAAATACCCGGTCGGGTATTTAGGAAACCGGTCGGGTATCAACAAAATGCTACGGGTCACTTTTCTGGGCAAAAGGGAAAATACCCGGTTGGGTATTTTGTTCACGACTGGGGGTCCTTCTGATGCTGCCAAAAATACCCTATCAGATGGTCAAATACCCGGTCGGGAATTTTGCAGTTTCGGGTCCCTTATCTTTGATTTTTCGTTTCTCCCTAGTTCGAACTACAAATCAGGTGCCGTTTGATCCCACACGCTTGTAGTCTCGTCCTCTTTCTTCTCATGACAAGCTTACATGATTCTATGGTCACAAATGAGGTAGAAATCCATTCTTCTTCAAGTTAAGCCCGAGTTTCTTCCCCCGAGTCTCCAGTTGATCTCCGATTGACTTGAAACTTGTGGCCAATGCAGTCAAAATCGTGATTTTAAGTAGAATCGAAAACTGGGGTAAAATCGGAATCGTAGATCAAAATCGTAAAATCGTAAGATTTTAAGGTTCATATTAAAATTAACGGTTAAAACGCCAGATTGTAACAACAATACATATCATGAACAATAATTCACTACATATCACTACTTAGTTACTTCTCATCGTAGGCTTGTATGATAAATAAACACAAATAAATCCATAGATTTGTACTTGTGCATTACAAAAACACACTAACAAATAACCTGAAACCTCGTAAATCACTTAGTCTAGTAAATAGTCAAGAATAGAAATCACATAAGATCATTTGGATCAATATTAACATCTAAGTCTTCAACATCATCATCACCCTCACTCTCATCTTCATAGAACCCTTGTCTATTTGCTTGTGCAATGATATTATTATTCTCAACACCACTTGAAGTACTTCCAAAACCAACTATATTTCCTTGATCTCCATCATCCGAAAAATGCTCATTGATTGGTTCACTCATTTCTTGATCGAGGACTTGATCATTCTCAATTTCATTAACTGCTCCATCTTCAGCAATCCATTCGTCATCAGAGTCAATATCTTCAAATATACGTTCTATCTTTTTACTTTGCCTCCGCATAAGCTTTGAGTTATACATCACATACACAAGGTCATTCATCTTCTTTTGAAGCAAACAATTTCTCTTCTTAGTATGTATCTACAAAAATGAAGCAAATATGAGAATATGATAAAAATGATAATGAAGTAATTAAAAAAATTTAGAAACTTACCCTCTCAAATACACTCCAATTGCGTTCACATCCAGAGGCACTACAAGTCAAGCTGAGAACCCGAATAGCAAACTTTTGAAGCTCAGGAACATCATCCCCAAAATCATTCCACCAATCTGCAGGATGCTTTCTATCCAATAATTGCATCGCTCCATAAGAATTGAACATTCCCCTAGCATTGCGAAACTCTGAAAGTTGTTCCATGATCTTAAGTTTCTCTTGAGGATCTCTTGCTAATCTTTCCACAGTTTCATACAACCCCACTTTCAGTTGTTTATCATTAGGGTCGAAACTGGATCCTTTCCCATGATGAACCTGAGGATTTAACCAATGAGCGGCAAAGTACAAAGGCCTACTCATTTGCTCTCCCCACCTCTTCTCAATAATTCTCAATATGGGTTTATATCTACAGACAATAAAACAAACACAGTAAATAAAACAAGAGAGTTGCAAGAAATTAAAAACATTTGTTGAACATGAGTAAATAGCTACTGGAAATTAAGCATATATGCTGAAAGTGGCCAAACCGCAGCTGGAAATGACAAAACAGTTGCTAGAAAGACAAAAATAGATGCTGGAAATTATAAACAGCAGTTGGAAATGACAAAAGGCTGCTGGAAATTAGAAATAGCTTGCTGAAAATGATCAAAAAGCTGCTGGGAATTGAAGGTAGCAATAAGAAAAGTGCTCTTACTTTCTCTCCATAGCACCAAAGTTACTTTTAATCTTCTCCTTTGCTTCATTCAGTTCTTTGACCACAAATGGCATTGTTGGCTTCTCCTCCGAGTCGACTAAACGTAGAACTTTCACCAAAGGCATAGCAGCTCGAAGACAATTTACAACATTTGTCCAAAATCTACCATCTAAAACAATCATTTGAATCCTTTTCCCCTCTGAAATGCTTGCAAAGTTACTTTTCCTCCATTTATCAGAAGAAAACATAGTCATCAAGTTTCCTTTTTGTTCACTAAGGCAACCTAGAGTCAAATAAGAAGTAGCAAACCTTGTTTGAGCAGGTCTAACCAAATCCCTGCCCTCTGTGAACTCTTTCATCATAGCAATCAGATTTGTCCTGGTGTAGATGAAATTAGTGACCTTTCTTCCTTTCGAAATTGTAGACTTATGAACTGGCATATGTTTCTCAAAATCCTCCAACATCAAGTCCATACAATGAGCTGCACAAGGAGTCCAGAACAAATGCTTCCACTTCCTCATCAATTTCTCTCCTGCAGCTTTATAAGCAGATGCGTTATCAGTGACGACTTGAACAACATTTTCCTCTCCAACCTTGTTTACAATATTATCTAGCATCTCAAAGACTTTCTCTGTGTTCTTGCTGATGCCAGATGCTATAGACTCAACAAAGACAGTTCCTCTTGGGCTGTTGACTAAGAAGTTGCAAATTGATCTTTTCTTCTTGTCGGTCCAGCCATCCGACATTATACTGCATCCCACAGATTTCCATTCTTCTTTAAACACATTAAGTTTCTCTTCTACTTCCTTCATCTCTTCTTTCAAGAAGGTTTCTCTTAACTCATGGTATGATGGTGGTTTGAAACCTGGACCATGTCTAGCAACAAGCTCAAACATATCAGCAAACAAAGGATCTCTTGCAGCATTGAAAGAAAGGGCATTGTTGTAGTACCATTTTGCTATACCACGACATGCTTCCTTTCTAAGATCCTTTTTTATCAGTTGGCTCATAGTTGTTTGAGTACGGGCTGGTGGAATGCTAATAGAAGCAGAATTTCCTCTATGAGACAGCATAGTGGAATGAACTGACTCATGAGATTGAGCAACAGAACCTACAACACTGTTGACCCCACGATGCAACAAATTTTTTCGTACCTCCTTTGCTTCTAAGTTGAGGTCGAGGAGCTCCAACATTTTGTGTCTCACATCATCAGGTACACTAACACATGCCTCTGCATTTTCTCTTGTTCCGGCAAGATGATGTTTGAGACGAAATGCACCGCCAGAGAACATCTTCAAGCAGAACTTGCATTTAGACCTCTTTGCATCGCCATTTACATCAATTGCATACTCCCAAGCTGGATCTTTTCTACTTCCAGCAACATTTCTTTTCCTTTTTGATTCTTTTCCTTTAGAAGCACTGGCAACACCTGTTGTAGACATTGCATCACCTATTGTATGAAATAAAATTAGGATTCACGCTTCATAATCCATATTGATTGCATATTTGCATAACAGGATGAGATTTGTAAAATAAGAGTTGAAAATTGAGTTGGAAGCGAGTAGAGCAAAATCAGAGCCAGTTACGAACGGAGGAAATGTGACTGTAAAGGGGGTAAATTCTACGCCTTACGTATTCTTTTAAGTATTAATCAGCCCCAAAAAGATCAAACGGATTGAGTAAAACGAATCACATCGAAATTATAGTTAATGATAAATTATTGGTTGTTAAAGTTTGACAAAATTGGTGGAGGAATGAAACACGTATGACCAAAGTCAATATTTTGAGGATGGCTGCCGGCTGGTAGTGTTAGATTGGACAAAGGGTGCAATGGAAGTTGAAGTTGTTGCTTTGGAGAGGATGGCTTACAACTTGGGCTAAACAAAAACAAGCAGTGGCCGCAGAAATCTACATATTCTCAACGAAGAAGGCTGTAGGCAGCAGCAATAAACCCAATACTCTACCTATTTTCAACGAAGAAGGCTGTAGGCAGCAGCAAACCTCAAGTCCTCGACAACTAAACTAAGGAACTTACCGTTGCAGCAGGCCGCAGAAATCACAGACGCGGCCGGAATGCGGTGGAGCAGAGGGGAGGCGGCGAATCAAAAGGGAGCGTCGGCCGTCTTTCGGCTCGCATCGGAGGGCCAAGGTCGTCTGCAGAGTGGAAGAGAGGATGACCAAAACAAAAAGAAATTAGGGCTGCGGGTTAGGAATTAGAGTTCCTTGCTTATTGATTAGTGTTGGGTATATGCCAAAAAAAAATATATATTAGTGTTGGGTCGGCTGTAGGAATGTACCTGACCCGGTTCTTGGTCAAAACCCGACCTTATTCGGCTTAATTTTGACTCAATTGTCATAAACCTTAAAATCGTACAAAATCGTATTAATCGTAGATTTTAAAGATTTTATAGTTTTTAATCGGGATTTTATGGGATTTTAAGGTTAAAAGATTTTACCTTAAAATCAGGATCGGAACCCATAGGTAAAATCGTAAAACCGTAAGATTTTAAGATTAAAATCGGGATTTTGACTACATTGCTTGTGGCTATGCTCACTTTATGTGCTAGGACTTGAAATGTGACAAACGAACACAACCTAGTGTAAAATTGGCCAAAAAAGTGATAATGCAAGCTTAAATTATCAAGAAACAAAGGGGAAAACATGTGCAAATATCGAGTTATCAGTTGTCGAATGAGTATGCAAAGATGGAGAACGAGAAGGAACCTTACCAGTAGCGAACGCCAATATCAAAGCATTAGGCAAAGCATCTTTAAAGTCCTCTTGGACAAGCCAACGGACATCCTCGGATGTCAAGGAGGTAGAATAAGATGGACTTGGGGCTGGTACAGAAGGCATCGCGGCATAAGCTCCTCCCACAGTAGGACGCGGCTGCCCACTGTGCGACCCATGAGAGCGCGACCTATTCTTCTGAGCAAGAGTAGGGCACGCAACAATGAGGTGACTGTCCAACTTACAATAATTGCAAGTGTTACGCTTAGGACAATGGAACTGAATGTGTCCTAAAGCCTTGCAATTAAAGCAAATTATCTCAACCTTGGTGGTACGATGGAATTGGGGTTTACCACCACCAACAAATGCGGTGCCCAGTTCAGAAGAGTGAAGATCAAGTTTCGCCTGAATCTTAAGAAGAGTCTCTTCCCGCAGAAGCTCAGCTAAGACATCCTCGATCGTCGAAACATCCCGATGAAGAAGAGATGCCTGAATTCCCTCAAATTTGGAACGCAAGTTCATAAGAAAATGCATCACCCGAGTACTGGATCTCTCCTGAATGGCGTCCCGACTCGCACGAAACTACACCACAAATTAATCCCGACTAGAGCCCAAGTTTTTAAACTCTAGCCGGGTGCAGTATGAGCAAGTATTTAAATAGTCAACCCGGGGCGGCCCATGTACCCCTACTTCAATCGCCTAAGTTGTTATCTAGCAAAACGGTTTTGGTTTTAAAACTAAGAAAACTACAAACTAAACTAGCAAGGAAAAGTAAATAAAAGAAAAGTCTAACTAAGGGAGCTTAAGCCAGGAGTTGCTTCCCCTTAACTAGCTATCAAGACTCGTTGGATTGGAACGATTGCTATGGGCAAGGTAACCGCGAACCGTAGAGGGATGCATATATGGTCGTAGACCACAATCTAAATTGCTAAACCAAGGTGAACATTATAGGCCGTGTCACTCGGCCCTCTCGGTTTAGGTGGCCAGTTCACGGCCGTGAACAGCTAAACGCGTCCGTGAACTCAGTGTCGTCCAAAATGCACCGCTTCACTCTCCTGGGTTCACGGTCAATGGCCCCATTTCACGATCTTAGAGACCGTGAACTCGCCTGGCGTCAGTAACTTCGGATTTGGCCCTGGACGCCTTGATGTTCACGGTTTGTGGTCCATGTTCATGGTCTTAGGAGACCGTGAACTGCCTTATCCGGCCGTGAACTGCGGCTGTTTCCTGGACGCCTAGTGTGAAATATGTCAAGGAACGATGAAATACTAAACTAAACGATTAAGAAATAAGGGGTAAAATGTGTACATTTGAGCCCGAATCACGTCCAGAGTAGGCGGAGCAGACGCCAAGGAAGCCAAAATCAAGTCCTACTCCGTTCACAATGTTACCGTCTCTTAATAGTAAGCACTAACAGACAGATCCCCTTGTTTCACCTGAGCAAGATCATGCTCCACATCAACTTGGCAAGATGCCCCCACATCTCAAACGCGGTCGCGAAGCTCCGGAGACTCAAGGCGACACCCGGTTCAACCAAAACCAGCAGTGAGGACATCACAGCCGCGTTATTGACAAACCCAATCATCCTTTTCCTTCTGCGAAGCTGTCTCCGCTGGTGCCCTAGATGTTTCGTCCAAGATAAAGAGCAGCCGCTTTCCTTGACAATGAATACGAAATTGAAATTCACAGAGAACGAAATTCTTACCATTGAACTGCGGGAGAGACATATCATTCTTAGAACCCTCCATGATAACCACAACCCAAGTCAGACGCAATATCCACACCAAGCACGAACACGAGCAAACCGATCGACGACAGTCACGGGGCGACGAGCGGCAATAGGAAACCCCCAAGCGAATACGCCATAGCCACGCAAATCACGAAGAAGATACGAGAGGCTCTGATACCATGTCAATCTATGCGCAATCACGATGAACATAAGACACAATATAGCGTGGTTTCCCCAACGGTGGTCGTTGGGACTAGTCCACGATATCCTCCTGTACAGCCATGCAACATATATGCGGCTAAGACTAATGGTAACCCTAACCCGGATAATTACAAAGTGGTACCCAAATAATTACTTCATGATACATATACTTCTAACATCATGTTGGAGGCCCTTCAATAGTGAGAATCTCGTCGGAGCATGAGAAAATTTACCACCATAAGGGTGCTCGCAAGCAATGTAAAGATATTCTAGTATACATAATAATCTATGGAAGAAATTGAGAGGTAAGACTCGGAACATAAATAATCCAAAAAAATATGAAAAATAACAAACATAATATTTTGCATACCACACAATGGTTGCACAATCTACATAATATTCAGTACAACAACAAAGTTAATAACTATTAATACTTACCATTTTTTTCTGTAAAAGCAAATGAGAGACCTCCAATCTACTATTTTCCAAGTATTGGCTCCACACTATACCATAATTGAATATTTATATATTTTATATGATCTATAAATAACTTCAATTTTATACTCTATAAAACAAAAAAATACAAGTCTATCAGCAATATCATCACAGAGTCTTTCGAATATTATTGTGGTATAAAAAAATACCATAATGATTTCAGTTTTCAATCTATCAGTGTACAAAAAATTGCACCCAAATGTTTCCGATTTTATATCGTATTGGTGTAATTATGTATCATTCTATGTCTGCGACAATGTTTTTATAAGTAAAATTTCAACTATATCAGAACGCAAATCATTGTCTAAGTCACATTAAATATAAATTTTGTATGAAAAATATGTAACTTTGAAATTGAAAATGAAAGGACACATACTATTTAGTAACAATGGGGTAAAAACAATACACTAAGAATGTACAAATTTCATATTAAATTGATGTACTTATGTATAATTGTTGTAGAGAAACCCAACATGTAACTATGACCATGTTTTTAGAAGAAGAATTTTTTAATTTAAATCATATGTGAATGAATATCATTGTGAAACTCCCAATGCTTCTATGCCAAAATATGTAAATTTTAAATTGAAATGAAAAAGATAAATATCATTGGGTAATGTTAGGGTATTGAAAATTAAGAAGAGAATGTGCTAAGTGGAGAGCTCTAATTAGACGTCTGTGATATTGTAATAAAATTTATTATTCCCACGGATGTTCTTTTTAAATGATTTATCAAAGAAA